ATATATATATATATATATATATTTAAAAGATATATTTTTACTTGAGCCTAATAAAATCATTATGAATAAAGACAGCAATTATCATTTTTAAAGTATTTAATAAGCTTTATATTTATAATTTAAATTCAAATTACCGATTTATTTAAAATAAAAATATACATTTTTTTTAAATTTTGAAGTCGTGTGTTAAAACACATTTTTTTTTTTAAATTCAAGTCGTATTTTAAAACATAAATTCTTATTTTTAATTTTTAACTACTTTTTTTAAACATATTTTCTATAATTAGTTAATTTTAAATTAAATTCATAAAGAAAAAAAATTAGAAGAAGTCTACTTATTAAAAGAAAGTAATGTCAAATTTTAAACACAACTTTTTATAAAAAAAACAATCGTATTTAAAACACGAGTTTCATATTTTATATCGTATTTCTAAACTACTATTTATTCAGTTTTAAATTTTTTTTTAAGAGTACCCATCAATTTCTTAAAATAATCGTCCCATTTGTATAAATAACCAAAATAAAGACAACTTAACCATTACTGAATAAATAGAATAGAAAAAAATCACCATATTTCAAACATTAAATTATTTTTTCACCATCAACAACTTTATGAGTTACTTTTCTGAAAAAAAAAATCATGAATTACAATCACCTAATTAAATTATATTTATTTGACATTACTATCTTATTTACCATATTTTTTTGGTTGTTGGGGGCTAAATCCTTGGTGATAGATAAATAACAAATATTGGGCTTCTTTGTTGCTTTTTGAGTTTTTAACCGCGCCTTATAAATGTACGAGCATTTCCAATTACCAATACACCAAAATACCAAATCCTCATTTTCTTTTCTTTTTCTCCACAAAATATAATTCATTCACACACGCAGTCGCTCACATCTCATCGTCGTCTCAATCCTCATCGAAAAACCCTCGACTCGCATCTCTCACACACACTTAATTTCTCGCATCTCTTCAATCGTCACTCCGGTTCGCTGGTTCTGTTTCAATCCGATTGTATTTTAATTATTTTTGTTTGATTTTATTTCATCTGATTCGTGGAAATTTCAGAATCCATTAAAATTGATATGACTGGGAGCATTGGTGAATGAATCTCGCGGAGTTTTGAAAATGCCAGGAATAGCGCAAAGGAATGAACAACTCACTAATGGCTCGGCGGTGTCTACGACGTGTTCAGTTTCTGCAAATGGATTTTGGTCGAAGAATTCCGATGATGTTAGCTACAATCAGCTTCAGAAGGCACTGAATTCTTCTTCTTTTGATTGTTTATTTTCATATTGGTTGTGGCTGGATCACTGTTTTGAATTGATTGTTGTGATAATAGAGATGGTTTGATTGACTTTATATTGGATCTTACAGTTGACACACTTGTTTGATTGCTTTTGTGGAGTTTGAATTCATGATTTCAGTATTTTTCTGATTGATAAATGTCATTTAGTGATAGTTTCTAGTATTTCTTGTTACTTGTTCTTTTGTTGTCTTATTGAACAATATTTACCAATTTCTCAAGGTTAATATAGATGATACTTTTATGAATCATCAACAATGAATCACACAAACTTCAAAATGGTTTTAAAAGTACAGGGGTCGGACACCAACAGATACTCATTCAGTGATAGTTTCTGATATTTCTTGTTAATTGTTCTTTTGTTGTTCATTGAACAATTTTAAATTCAAGGTTAACATTGATGATACTTTTATATGGGACAATGAATCGCAGAAGCTTCAAAATGGTTATAAAAGTACAGGGTTGGACCCTAATATATACTTCTACTTGTATCCTACCATTTTTAACTTACTATTTATTTTTTTAATTTTTATACCAGTGCGGGTGGTACACTGCTGCAATAATGGGACATATAATATTATTTTATTGTGTCTATAATGATTAAAATGTTGACTTTTGAAACATTAATGTCCCTATTTTAATTTAGGAATTCAGATTTAATTTTGTCTTAATATCATATTTTTTTATGTTACACCCTTGCTATGTGTCATCTCATCCTGTGATTTTAAATATTTGTCTTATTCCCTTGTTTATTTCAAAATTTAGAAAATGGTCCACAACTGGAATTGTAGCTGCAACATCAAGGCTTTTAGGGCCTTTGTAATTGCATTACGGCCACAATTACCAAAGCATCAACCACATTTATCTGCAATTTTTTGCAATATAAAGAAATGCAAAAAAATCGCTACCGAGTTTGCGACTTAAAACTTTGTTCTATTTTGTATTTGTATGTGTCATATCCATGCTTCCTAGCTAATCAATGATAGTGAACAACAATTAAAATTGTGGTTAATGTGGCTGGGGGGGGATAGTGAACAACAATTAAAATTGTGGTTAATGTGGCTGGGTGGTTGTGTTGTGATTAACAAAATTTTAGGAATTGTAAATCTAGTCAATGTGGTTGCAAAGACCTTGAAAATGTAGCTAACCAATGATAATGAGCAACTATCAAAATTGTGGTTGAGGTCACAATGTGGTTGTGGTGTGATTAGCAAAATTTTAGGAAATTGTGGGTAAATGTAGTCAATGTGGTTGCAAAGACCTTAAAAACTGCAATATGGCAGCCACAATTGTGCTTGCTATCTGCAATTTAAAACCATATTTCACTGGGATTGAGTTTTGACCTAGGTCATTTTTATCTTGTTCTCTTGATAAAAATGCAACTAGTGACATGCTTGCCTTGTCTCTTATTGGTTTTTTTCCATTTTTTCTATTCAGTTCTGGAGTGAGCTGTCGCTGCAAGCTCGGCAAAAACTCTTGAGGATAGACAAGCAATCCCTTTTTGAGCAAGCTCGTAAAAATTTGTACTGCTCCAGGTGCAATGGGTTGCTTCTTGAAGGTTTTCTGCAGATTGCAATGTACGGAAAATCTTTGCAAAAGGAAGGGGTGGATGCTCACTTTCCTTGCAACAGATCCGGAGGCTTGAGAAAGCTAAATAATGATGGATCAAGCATTATCAATGGATGCCAAGATGAAATTCATGACCCATCTATCCATCCTTGGGGAGGTCTGACTACAGCACGTGATGGTTCGTTAACACTTATGACCTGCTACCTGTATTCAAAGTCTCTGAAAGGACTGCAAATTGTAAGTGTGGTTCATTTATATTGGATCCTCATGCCATCATTTTCACTGTTAGTAGCTAAACTTTTTCACTTGTTAGGTCTTTGATGGGGCACGTGCCAGGGAGCGGGAAAGAGAACTGCTTTATCCTGATGCTTGTGGTGGGGGAGGCCGTGGTTGGATAAGCCAAGGAATAGTGAGTTATGGAAGAGGACATGGGACAAGAGAAACATGTGCCCTGCATACTGCCAGACTTTCATGTGATACACTAGTTGATTTTTGGTCAGCACTGGGAGAGGAGACTCGGCTTTCTCTTCTAAGGATGAAGGAAGAAGATTTTATTGAGAGGCTTATGTACAGGTGTCTATCTATTTTAACATTCCTTACACTGTTAAGATTAGATAAACGAGGATTGTTATTTGTTACTACTAATGATATAATTTCTAACACAACAATCAGTCATACAGTTGAAATTGACATGCAAAGAATGAGAATCTGTAACATGCCTCTGAAAGGTTTAAAATAAATTTATTGAATATGGCTATCTTTGTAAGGATCCAAGTTATCTATTTTGCATCCCTTAGAAGAGTCAGGTAGAATAACATGAGATTTGTAGCCAACTAACTATCTGTTGGAATCTAGGACAATTGAGCTGCTGTTTGATGCTTAAAAAGGTGAACAGGAAACTCATTATATGGGGAGAGTTGCTTATTATGTCTGGAGTAATGTGATGTTCTTCAGTTGTTTTTTGAATGTGTATTTCCTGTCTCCTTTTATATTGCCCTAGAGCCTTTTTACCCAGGATCAACCTAAGGATGAATCTATTAATTGTATTTCTTGGCAGAGCCCATTTAATATTGAAACTATTACCCAAAAGTAGTTGTAGTTTGTGCTAGAATTATTATAATGTAAACATCTGGAGAAGCAGAATGGTTTAGGCTGTTATAGAACAGCCATCATTTATGACATAGTGCAAGGTTTAGGAAATTGGATACTTGGGACTTGCGGACTGTATACACAAGTAGTTTAGGAAGAGTTATAAGGTGGTCTGGTGGTTTGGGGGAGAGGGATATAGGGTTGGAGTGATAAGGAGGGTGTGGGTTTGAATCCCCTCACTAACATGACAACTAACAATTAACATTTGTCGATAAAAAAGAAAGGTAGTTTAGGAAGGGATGATTTTGATGGAGACAATTGGGTACTTTGGGATTTTGTGGACTGTAGATATGGACTATTAGATAAAAACTGATGACGCTATTCAAGAGTTATCATGCAATTATTCAGAAGATAAATCAACAGATGAGCTGTTGTTAAAATTGAAACTGACATCATTCTCTCTAAATGGTGTGGTGATTACTGATTTTCACTAAGGTTTTAGGCAATAATTTGGCTAACGCATTAATGCCTACTGACCTTTTTGTGACGGTGACCTTGTTTTTAGGAGATTTGTTGAAAGGTAACACAGGTGGAGTGAGTATGATGAGATCCTTAATTAATGAAACTTGAGTAAAGAAAGACAAAGAAACAGAAAAAAATTTAATGAACAGTCTATATGATATAAATAATCAACAAGGCAGCTTCTGCACCTTCAGAATGATATTGACTTAGGCATCTTGGTAGATTAGAATGTTAACTTAATGTTTCTGCTATAAATAGGAAAAACTTTATCTAATATAGATTCACTCCATTATTTTCTTTTTGCATGTTATTACTAATTCATTTAACATTTTCTATTGAGTGTTTGTCTCCGGAGTATCATGATCTGCCAGCAAAAGATATTAAGTGAAGCTTTATGTTCCCTTCTGTTTGTTTAAAATTTCCAACGTTGTCTGGTGTTGTACTGGATCAGAGAACTTGCTGCTTCCTATAATCAAATGGGTCTTTGTGCTATTAGAGTTAGACTATAGCAAGGATTTTTTTAATTCTTTAGTCATTTCTCTTAAACATTTTGTTCTAATGCTCATTTGAATGCATAAAAGCAATGCCTACTTGTTCATTCCTGGCATGATTTTAATCTATTTTGTCATCAGTTGAAACTTGAAGCTATATGAAACTATGCTTCAAAGCTGTAGTATAGTATTTGGTGATATCACTTTTTCTCTATGACAATAATATTCATATTATAAGTTTTTAAGAATGCTCTATGCTTTTGGGTTTTACTAATGTGTTACCATATCTATCAGGTTTGATAGCAAGAGATTTTGCAGAGATTGTAGAAGAAATGTTATTCGAGAATTCAAGGAACTAAAAGAACTGAAGCGCATGCGTAGAGAACCTCGTTGCACCAGCTGGTTTTGTGTTGCTGACTCCGCCTTTCAATATGAGGTGTGACTTTCACATTCCTATCCTGTAAAATTATGATGATTGAGATTTCAGTGGAAGAGTCTACACAGAGTATGTTAGGAACCAATAATAGGAATGAGGAAGAAAACAAAGATTTTATTGAATAGGTTGAGAAGACAAGGAATAGGAGGGAAATCTCTCCTCCAAGAGATTCCCCTTCACAAAGAGCTGATGCACAATTTACAAATAGCAATCAATCTCCTCAATTCCCTCCCCTCAAGTCCTATTTATTTATGTCACAAACTCTAATTCACTAATATTTTAACTATTCTAACTAACTCCCTCTTCCCAATAGTCTTAACATAGTTCTATGAAAAAATTGTTTTATCAAGCGGCCATCTACAACTATAATAGAAGTTCCTACTAACACAATATCTATCCATTTGATTTTATTAGGTATCTGATGACTCAGTTCAAGCTGATTGGCGTCAGACATTTGCTGATGCATCGGGAACCTATCATCACTTTGAGTGGGCCGTGGGGACAACTGAAGGAAAATCTGACATTTTGGAATTTGAAAATGTTGGATTAAATGGATGTGTTCGAGCCAGTGGCCTGGATCTTGGTGGTTTGACTGCATGTTTCATCACTCTGCGAGCTTGGAGATTAGATGGACGCTGTTCTGAACTTTCTGTTAAAGCTCATTCGTTGAAGGGTCAACAGTGTGTACATTGCAGGTTAATTGTAGGAGATGGTTATGTTACAATCACAAAGGGGGAAAATATCAGAAGATTCTTTGAGCATGCTGAAGAGGCCGAGGAAGAAGAGGTAATGGAAGTTTCACTAAGAAAATAAACCTCGTTAATTATCCATCATTCATTTGATTTTGATAATTATTCATGAGGAATTATTTTTCAGATTAAGTTTCATGTTGTATAATGTATGCTTTTAGGATGATGATTCAATTGACAAGGATGGCAACGAGCTTGATGGAGAATGCTCTCGTCCCCAAAAGCATGCAAAAAGTCCTGAACTTGCTCGAGAATTTCTGCTAGATGCTGCCACTGTTATTTTCAAAGAACAGGCAGGTTTTGCTTTGCGTTAACATTATTTTTTGTGCCTGTGTCTTGTTCAACCACTGACTTTGTCTTATCCTTTCAGGTTGAAAAGGCCTTCAGAGAAGGAACAGCACGCCAAAATGCACACAGCATATTCGTCTGCCTTGCACTAAAACTGCTGGAGGATCGAGTGCATGTAGCATGCAAAGAAATCATTACACTGGAAAAGCAGGTCTTAGTTATTATGCTTTTAGGAAAAAGGCTGTTGGGGGCGGGAAAAGAATTCTGTTTCGATTTTGAAATCACTTTTCTAAATCTCAGTTGTATGATTTTGTCTACAGATGAAACTTCTTGAAGAAGAAGAAAAGGAAAAACGTGAAGAAGAAGAACGCAAGGAGAGGAGAAGGACAAAGGAAAGGGAGAAAAAGCTTAGGAGGAAGGAAAGACTAAAAGGAAAAGAAAAAGAAAAAAGGTGTTCTGAATTAAGTGATGCTCTTGGGTCTCCTGAAATCTCAAAGGAAAAATTGTCTGCAGTTGCCGATTTGGAGGAAAATAATCCTATTAGCTGTAGCAATTCGGTTATTGAAACAGATGAAACCAATCTATTGAGGGAAGATTCTCCTAACATCCAAGATGAAGAATTCTCTAGTGAGTGTAGTACTTTGAAACCACAAGACCTATCTTATGATGATTGTGAGGAAGAAATTTCAAATGCAAAAGCCGAGATAGGACAGTGTACAATTGAACAATCAATGCCTTCTCATCGAAGACTAAGATGCAGGAAAGAATTTCAACTGGATGTGCCTATGAAGTGGTCTGATAGACGGCGATATGCAGTTGTTTCAGAAAATAGTGCAATGGTTGGCAGATCTGAGCCAAGACAGTATGGAGAGAGTTTTGTGGCATCATCCAGGGCAATGAATGGGTTCAATAGGCAATCAAGAATAAATGTCCCAACAAAGTCCAATGGTCGAAATGTTGGTCCTCCCAAGTATAATGAGAAGTTCTATAGCTCAAAGAACCGGACAAATGATAGATGTGATATTCATTCGTGCAGTTGTAGCTTGAACAATGAGTATAAGACAAGGATTGAGCAGCATTCTCCTATGACTAGAGTTAGCTGGGAGACAAAACCTACCAGTCAGTTTGAATCTGCAGGAGATACATCCAAGCAATTTTATCGTGGTAGTAAGAATAATCAAGTAGACTATGTGCATGAGAGTAATGGAAGACCCAAAAGCAAAATCATCTTGGGGAACTATACGAGCAGGGATTTGTTTCAATCGAAGAAAGTTTGGGAACCTACAGAATCTCAGAAGAAATATCCTCGCAGTAATTCTGACTCTGATGTTATTTTGAGGTCTACTAAAGTTCAAGGAGCTCAGTCCGATTTGATCAAGTCGTCTATTGAAGAAGCTGTTGATTCGGGTGAAAATGATGGTGAGGAATGTAATTCAAAAAGATTTAATGGAGTTGATGAAAGGTGTCAAAATGATTTTCGTGTAGGTGAAGGTTCTTGTAGCTTTACGGAAATTGCTTTGGAGGAACCTGGATTATGCTCGTCCGGAGACTTTGCCTTGAACAATTCTTCTGATCCCACTCAAAGTAGCACTTTTAGTTCTGATAACTGCTCATCATGTCTAAGTGAGGGTGATAATAATACAACCTCGTCAAACCATGAAAATACAGAATCCTCAACCACATCAGATTCAGAAGATGTTACCCGGCAGTCTGAAGTAAGAAATAATTCGGATTGCATGGAAAATGTGCTGTCTGATTGTCATGAAGTTGTTATACAGAATAACCAGAATGCAAATGGTGAGGGTTTGACAAGAAGTTCAAGTTCACCGATTGGTCCGTCCTTGGATGGTACAAGAAATGATGCATTGGGAAATCATGTAGTGGAAATTGCCCAAAGTTTTGAAAATTGTTTTTCCACCGCTAATGTGTGTTCTCAACCTCAAAGTATGCTTCCGCCAGTGTCAAACCAAAATATACAATTTCCAGTGTTTCAAGCTCCTTCTACAATGGGTTATTTGCATCAAAATCCAGTTTCATGGCCAGCAGCTCCCACCAATGGATTGATGGCCTTCCCGCATTCAAATCACTATCTCTATGCTGGCCCTCTTGGATATGGCTTAAATGAGGATCCACGCTTCTGCTTGCAGTATGGAGCCTTACAGCAACCAACGCCCATATTCAACCCTGCTGTTCCAGTTTATCAGCCAGTTGCCAGAGCTAATGTCTTAAATTCAGAGGGGAGGACTCGAGTTTCCCAGCCAGCTTCTTTGTTAGAGCATCCTAATGGATCTTTTGCAGGAAGGGCCGTTTCAGCTGGAGCGATTTCCACAAGACCAGTTTGGTGTGATAATTCTGCCAAGTCACTAGAGAATAACAATGATTTTTCCTTGTTTCATTTTGGTGGACCTGTAGACCTTTCAACAGGTTGTAAATCAGCACTCGCGTCTTTGAATGGTGATACTGTTGGCGATTTTAGCTCAAAAAGTTCACCAGATCATGTCGAAAAGGTCCACAATTGCAATAAGAAAGAGACTCCTGCCATGGAGGAATACAACTTATTTGCAGCAAGTAATAACTTAAGGTTTTCAATTTTCTAAAATGATAAAGTGAGAAGTATAAGGTGGCTGTTGTGGAATCCAGTCCCTATCTTCACATATGGTAATGGAGGTTTGAGTATCTTGTAATTTGGTGAACAATAAGCTTCCTTTCAGCAATTTCCAATTTAGCCTATAGCTTGATTAGTTAATTGTTGCCCAATTGTCTCTCTTTTTTTTTTTTGGTGTAGAGAAAGATTGAGTGTTGGTATTTTAAAGGTTTTTTTCGTGTGAGGTCATAATCACCTTAAAGTTTCAATTAAGCATTTGTTCTTCGTAATTCTTTGTCATACTGAAACCAAAGCAGTCTTTATAGTGAAAGCTGTACTGGAGTTTTTGAGCTGACATTGTTATAATGATTAAAGCATTTGTTTGACTCAGGTTGATTTCTTTTCCTCTGGTGTTTTTGGTTGAATTCAAATTTAGATCCTTTCATGTGAATCTGACACTACTGTTATATAGACACATGCAAAATTTGCAAGTAATGTTAAGTCCGTTGGAAGTGGTATAGGTATAAATCATTTTTTTATGAGTGAATATAGGGTATCCTCTGTTGAAAGGCAAGACTAATTTCTTGAGCTAATATGATTCATTCAAGATTTTTTTTAACAGATTTTTTTTCCATATGCACAAACTTGGAAATTAAATTTCTAATTACTTATTTTAAGTGACAAGATTATTTATCAATTTTTCCATACTAGGTTAAAAATATAAACTATAGCACCTTTTAAAATGATCCAATAGGAGTCTTTTTCAGCCACATTTGCTCATCTTTGATGCTTTCGTTATTCTGAGGTGAAAATTCTAGGGTATTCTTAAAAGTAATACGAGATTAGAAGCTTGATTTAAAACTTATCTGAAAAAGAAACATATGTATTGATAATAATGTATTATCTTTTATATGATTATCTAATTACAAATACAAACCATCAAGTATATTAAAATTGTTCACTTTAATAATAACTATCCTAAAAGTTACACCAAATTTTTTAATTGGTTAACATTTTATATCTATTAAACTCGTATAAATGGTTTTTACATTACTATTTAAATGCATTTTTACAGTTATTTAAATGCAAATTTTCATATATATAATAATTTGTTGACTTTTATAATAATTATTTAAAAGTCATACTTAATTTTTATTAGTTAACATATTTTTCATTGCAAAAAAATAAACTTAATTATTAAGTTCTAGAGTTTGATGGAAAATTATTTTAATTAACAACTTTCTTCTTATTATGACTTTCAAGATAACTATCATAAAAATTAATTAGTTTATTACATATAAAAAATATGTAATTGGATGACAATATAAAAAAGAGAAAATAGGATATCTATTGACATTAATAATATGAAATAATTTTATATTATATTCAATCACAGATCATTATATATGATAAACTTATTAAATTTTACAACAAATTAGTATATTAACATATGAATTACCATGGATCCTTTGTTGTGGCCTTCTCTTGCAAGATTGGTTTGTGTTTAGTATACTATGACCTCAAGTTTGCATATGATATCGAAATATCTGGAGACTTATTTGTTGAGTCAGATTTTGCTATAACTGTTAATTTCTTGAATGATGGGTGCAACATGCATCATCCTTGTTATTCTTTGTGTAACAAAGTAGTTAGTATAGCTCATACTATATCTTTTGTTAATTGTAGGCATGTGTTTAGAGAGGCCAATCAAGTGGCTGATGTTTTAGCCAAGAGAGGGTTGACAGTGTTAGAGGGTATCCAAATTTTCCATACCCCTCCTGCCCGGTTACAGTTAGCTCTGTTAGCGGATGCTTTCGTAGTGCACTTTTTTTGTGGCTTTTAGTTTGGGCGGTTAGCCCCTTTCAATACCAAAAAAAAAAAAAAATGCAATACAATATATATGTTTATTTATATAATTATAATTTATATGTTCACAAATATTTTTTTTACGAATTTTAATGATAATATAATATACATATTCAAAAGTATTTATTTAGATATGTTGAGTTGTTGATTGTTGTTTGGACTATCTTCTTATAATGCAACTCCTTTTCGTGTGGCCTCCCTCCTTTTCACATGTTTACAAATAGTTATATGCTATTAAACATTATATATGTAAAGAGTAAAGTTGTCAAAGTGAGTTTTAATCCGTCGGTCAACCCGTCTCACCTTAAAAATAGGTTGGGTCGAGCAAAAAAATGAGAAAAAAATATAATAGGTAAAAAAATCCAACTTGATTCACTTTTGACCTGACCCACCTAACTTGAACTTGTGGTGGACCGGATTGCCCACCAAACCCATTTACACCCCCATAAACCCCACCATCAATAACTCACTTAATCATTTATTATTATATATGTATTATTTTAACAAGATACCATTTTTTGTTGTAGATAAAGATAAAGTTAATATTAAACAATATGAAATTGCTATAAATTTATTTATTCAATCCTCCAATGAAGTTTAATATTGATTAACAATCACTCTCATAAAAGAATTTTTTTTATTTTGATTATTTAAATTTATACTTTTTAAAATTAAATTTAATATTATATGCATGATACTTAATTTGACAATTTTTATTTTAGATTAGAGATTATTTTAGATTAAAATTTATTTTAAATTATTTTTTAAAATTAAGTAGATTGGTGAGTCAACCCATTTAGTCCACTAACTCGTGGTGGAGCAAGCCGGATTAAAAAATTTTGAACATTAAAGATGGTGAATCCAACTAGACCAATCCACTTAAAAAGTGAGTTGAGAGATACCAGGTCAAAGGGTCATATTGTCCCATTTTAACAGCACTAGCAAAGTGTAGTACTTTTGAGTACAATACATGTTTAAAGAAGGGAATTGATGTGCAAATTGACTAGGCCATATGGTCTCTAGAAGTTCTGAAGAACTTGATTTTAATAGATAGCTGCTTCCTTTTCTCATTTTGGTTTTCTTTAGATCTTTTAACAAAAAAGATTCCCTTATTCTATTTATATTACGTTCAGTATAGTATATATGCATTATATAATAGTTTGAATAAATTTTCAAAGTCCTTAATGATTTACATTACTTTGGAGCAATTAAGATTACATATTTAATTTTAACAAATTACAAATTTCAGCCACATTAAAAACAATAAACTCATTAGAAACCTACCATCCTCAGAGCCCCAAATCAATCAAACCAAGATCTTTGCTCGACGTCAAACTAGAGGCAACACTAGCATAAAACCAGTCTGCATCATCTAGCCCTAACTACTAGAGGTGTATTTGTTTTAATAATTAGAAGCCACAAACACTAGTTGAATTCAAAGCTCTAAAACACATGAATTGGTTTGAAGGTATATGGGAAAGTGTGCTCACAGCAAAAACAACACACTAGAGCTAGTTGCCAGTTGACCTCATTCGTAATGCACCCCTACCCTAGGTCTAGCAAGCTACAATATCTTGGTCAATGTTGATGGCAGACCAGCAACTTCTGATGTTGACTTTTGTCATTGGTGATTGTGGTGCTTGACGATGAACCTTGTTGGTTTGCTTTGGACCGAATGGAGAAGGGTGGTCTTGGTTGAGCTTGTGAGACTATTGAAATGTTTGAACTTTGAGATGAACCTTGTTGGTTTGCTTTGGACTGAATGGAGAAGGGTGGTCTTGGTTGAGCTTTTGAGACTATTGAAATGTTTGAACTTTGAAATGAGGCTTTTTACGAGATGGAGGAATTTGACTTGGACAAACATTCCAAGAGCCATGCAAGATTTTAAAAGTGAGGAAAAGCTCACATATCAAACAAATTATATTATTTTATCATTTTTAATCCAAAAATTCAAACTATTAGTCAAAAAGAAAAACAGCATATACATAGTTCAATCAAATTGTGTATTGAAATGTATCCACTCTAGTTTTTAAGCTCTCGAGCAGATTAAAACAGCTAAATACATGTCAGGTTCATCCACAAATTCAGCCACATCAAAAGAATGAGCAGTTGCAACACTGTGTAAATGTGTTTTGTCAGGTAGGTCAGAAACTACTATTTCTGGGTACTGTTGTCTCTGCTGTTCTAATACTTCTCTCCCTTTGGGATGACTGATAATCACTCTTCCCCCTACAGGTCAATTCCAAAAATTATATACAAGAAAACAACATGGGAGCACTGAGCTAAACTTCAAATGAGGCAAGAATCTTGAGCTAAGAAAAAGAAAAACAACATAAGGAGCATTAAGAAAATCCATCAAATTTACTCCATAATAGAATCAAATTAACATACAAACAGTAAAATAAACACATTCATAAATTATTATCTTATTAAAACCTAGTAATAAACAAATTAAGATCCTAGTAATAATATCTGTAAGAAATTCAGCATTTCAGGAATGTTTTCTATGAATCAATTTCTTGTCTCTCCTCCTGAGACACAAAATTACTCAAACCTTCATGAAAACATTTACAAGAAAAGATTACTTAATGCTTCATGAAATATGAATGACAAACTTTTGAGACACATATGTGATGCACATATGTGATGCTTGTATCTTAGGAGTAAAAGAATGGTTGATAGCTTATGTTTAGCAACTAAATTGGGGATGAAGAGCAGCTCCTTTCATAATATTGTATACCAATAACAAGGCAAAAATACTTTCTTTTCCGACAAAACCCGAGAAAATTCTTTTTGACTCCAACAAGACCACTATGAACAATAAAGCTTTCCCTTCGAATATTTAATGCAATTATATACCTAAGATTTGAATTCAGGATCTCTGATTAAGCTAAAACAATTTCGTATTAGCTGATCAACGCAATAGGTAGTCCTCTACTACACTCTTCGATAATCATACTCTATGATTTGGACTCAAGAATTCTGATTAAGCTAAAACAATCTTGTTTCAGTTGATCTAGGCCTTTGGTAGTCCTCTACTACACTTCCTACCATAATTAAAGTTCATTGGAAACTAAAAAAGGAGTGATACCTACCAAGAATTGTGATTTTCAATAAATTTCAGCTAATAACAAAGGACATGTTAAGTCAAAGTGTGTGTAGCTAGCATTTCTCAACCTTCAAACAAGCGAAGCAACTTTGCTGGGTTTCCTATCATACAACAAACAGTAAATTTGCCATTACAAGAAGAAAGCAATTACATAGTTCTCTAAAACTCACCCGGCGCACATTTCCCAGCCAAAGACCCCAGAACTTGGTCGAGTCCGAAAGGCAACGCAGGTAGAAAATAAAGAAACACAACATCAAAAGGAGCCCACTTTTCTGGAACATACAAAACCTCCCCTTGCCAACACTTAACCTTGTCATACTTTTCCTTAACACAAGCCAATATGAGAAGAGAATCATGAACAACGAACAGAGAGCGAGTCAACCCCACCAAGCAATCCACAAAGTCTTCAGACCCAGTCGAAACCAAAACCCTGGAACCCTCTTCAACCCTCGCAGCAGCCACAATGCGCTCAATGCTCCCCTTTTCCGAACCGGGTTCGGCGCAATCGAGGAGCGACCAGTCCTTCTCGATGATTTCGGCGATGGGGACGGGGAGGGAGACGGGGGCGTCGAGGTTGGAGTCGGTGGCTCGCGGCGGAGAGGGTTTTGGGGTGAGAGAGATGGGAGAGAGGGTGAGGAGAGTGTTAAATGTGGGTTGGTGTTTGGTTTGCAGAAAGGGGCGGAACTTGCATGGTGGTGGGGGTGTGAGGACGAAGGAAGCTAGAGATGCTGAATTCATGGGAGGAACAAGGGGCACACTGCAGAGTGCAGAGGATAGAAATACCCTACAGCAACAACAACACTCAAGAGTAACTTTGAGTTTTCTATTTTAAATTTTATATATCTTATCTATAAATAGGAAAGAAGTAAAATAAAATGCTTTTAATGATAAGATTAAAAAAATAAAACTTATAAAAGTATAGATACCATATGGGTATTTCAATCAAAATTAATTTTGTATCATGTGATTATGCTATATGGAGTATTATCAAGCTGAGTAGATTTGGTTCTCATATTTCTCATTTTTCTTTGCAAGATGATTTTCTCTTTGGTGAAACTAATATGGACCAAATAAATACTATGAGTTAATCCCTTATATATTATTAGAGTAAATTTTTTTTACATTGACAATCAATCAGATCTGTTAATAGTGTCATGTCATTTATTTATTTAATTAAATTAAAATAAAAAAGGTACTATCAATAGATCTGATTAATTGTTAGTATAAATTTTTACACTGATAATTTATAGGTGATTAACTCAAATACTATTAACAGGTGTCTCGACGTGCTTTGTTCTTCATATGGGCGGGCAAAAAGGTCTTGGTGGCTAAATAAGACTTTTTGCATCCAAGAATGCTCATTCTTCTCGAGTTGGGGAAGTATAGGTTTTATTGAGTTTTTCTCTTATCTCGGTAAGAATCTTGTACCCCCTCTATTGCATGGTGCCAAAAAAAGGGTGATTTATTCTTATTTGTTGGAAAAGACTCAAAGATGTTTAGGATGTTCGAATTAGTTCAAATTTTTTAAGTGAAAATCTAATTTAAATTAATTAAATTTAATTATTTTAGATTGATTTTGATTTCATAATTTTTTTACTTAATTCAAATTGAATCAATTTGATATTAATTTGATTGGTTCAATTTAGATTATTTAGATATTTAATGAATTTTTAAAAAAAATTAAATTAAAAATATTTTTTTTAAGTAAATAGGTTTTTAACATAAACTAAATTAAAATATTATAAAAATTAACTAAATTGATAGATTTACAATATAACTTCTTTTCTTAATTTACTTAATAATTTTAAATACACCGAGAAAATAATACTCGATATATTGTAATATTATTCTTTTTTATTTCTTTAATTATTTGAAAAAAAAAACATATTGTAATACAAAATATCTTTAAAATAATCAAAATAACACATACATATTAATTATTAACTAAATAAAAAATAAAAAATAAAAATATATAAATTAATTAATTTAATTTAGATTGATTCAAATTTTAAATGTGTAAATTTTATATACGAACCAATTAATATCAAGTTTAATTAGCTTGGTTTGAGTTAGACCTAAACAAAAAAAAATTTAAACAATTTAATTGATTTGGTTGAAATGGTTAGATTTATCGAATTAATTTGATTCGATGAACACGCTAGACATTTGAGTAATTGGATGACAAATACTTCATCTTTGCCGCCTCTCATGTTGTACACTTCTATAAATTACCTATATTTTAGGATGAATGAGTTCTTACACTTACAAATCTTAAATTTAATAATAAAAAAATTCAAATAAAAAATGTTATTGGCACATTTTTTTTTCAAAAAAAAAATTATATAACTAATTTTCTATTATACTTGAAAATACATAAGAATATGAGACCACTCTTATTGAGTTAAATAAATAATATTAATATTTTTTTTCTATAATACTAATAAGAAAATTTAATCTTCATCTTCATAAGGGATAAACAAATGTTCATAAATGAAAAATATATATCATATTTAATTTCAAAATAAATTTTGGATGAGATAAGTATTTTAAAAATAATAAATAATTTACGTACTTAATTAAAGATAATTATTTTAAGATGAATATTGTAAGGTGTTAATATTTTTCTATGCATAATTAACTATTGAACTTAAAATTTAGTTTCTAACGGTTAAATTTACAAAATTCATATTTAATATAAAGTTATTGAACGGTATAATACTTGTTAAAAATTACACTATGTTATTATAATCCTCTTCGTATATATATATATAT